AGGAGTGGACACCCAAAATTTGGTATTAAAATATTTTATTAAAAAATTAAAAATAAAATAGTATAGAGGCGTGACATTGTGATTGGATCCATCTCAGTCGTTCATTCAGTTCAGACAGCTAGATAAGGGAAATTTATAGCTTATGTATAGTAGATACATGTCATTAATGATAAAAGGATCCTGTTATGTCCATTGCAATCATGCTTCCAAAATGGATTTCCTTCAAATTCAAATCAGAGGGCCTTCTCAATATTTGGAGTTTCCTTTTTTTCGCTACAGTCTGGTTTTTATGGGAGAAGCACATTCACCAAATTTTCCAAATGAAAGTATCAAGAAGAGAACAATTGCTAAGGAGGATCACCTCCCATATTGGCGAGTTAGCAGATGCCAAAGCATGGGCATTCCATATTTCGAAAAAGCAATTATTCGAAATTTGCAAAACATGTGGCATCAACAACAATCTGAATCCCTTATTCTAGTCACATGTATTTCCCTCATTCTCACCATTTCAAGCTGAATATTGATAAAGCTTCTTTACATAACCTAAGGCCCACAGGAGGTGGTGGTGTTATCAGACGTGGTAATGGAGCCGTTGTTGCCACTTTCGCCGCCCCTTTTGGTATTGCATCCCACAACTATGCAGAATTTTATGCTCTTAAAGAGGGCATTGATCTGACCATTTAAGTGTGATTGTTTTTCATTACAGATTGAAAGTGACTCCTCTCTGCTAGTCAATGTCATTCAAGGCCGATGTAAAGTTACATGGGCACTTCACACGTTAGCAATAAACTGGGGACACAGCCTCTGAAATCGTATGTGGTTCATCTCATATCAATCGTAAAGTTAACATACAGACACCCTTGCAAAAAAGGCCACATCCCTTTACCGCCGGATTTTATCTCCCTTTTTTTATTTCATGATGTGACACAGATGCCCAACTGTAAGGCTGTAAAAATATGAACGGTATTTGCTTATTTTTATTAATAAAAAATGGATAGGGGGCTTTCTCCCCGATTGAGTGAACCAAAAAAAAAAAAAGACCCTATTATGAGAGAGAACCTAGGTAGGTGGCGAGAAGAGACATTGAAATAGGGCAGTTGGAAAGAACAATGGAGCTTCCCTCGTCCCTAGTTGCATCTCTCTTCCTATTCTCCCTCTAGTGCAATAGGTAATTAATTCTTTGAATTCATTTTGACTCTTCCTATATTCTCCCTCTAGTGCAATAGGTAATTAAATCTCTGAATTTAGATTGATTGTATATCTCTCGGACATTATCTTATATTTTTCCATGTGGATAAACCATATATATATATATATATATATATATAATCATATGAGATCTTTCCACATTCATATGTGTAGGATTTTAAAGGATCACCATTAAATTTGGCACAGATCTTTAGAAAATTCAAGTCTCACACCCATGTGATAACTTTTCTAGAGATTTATATCAAATTTAATGGTGATCATTTGAGGTCCTACACACATAGGTGTGGGAGGAT